GACACAAATGAACTTATCTACAAAACAGAAACAGATTCACAGACGTAGAAAACAAACTTATGGTTACCCAGGGGTAAAGGGGGCGGGAAGGGATAAATCAGGGGCTTGAAACTTGCACCTCTTGGAGAGTGATGGAAATGTTAGCTATCTTGATTGTGGTGGTGGTTTCATATGTGTACATGTCTATCAGAATCCATCAAATTATACATCTGAAATATGTATAGTTTACTGCACAGGAATTATACCACAATAGAGGTATTTAAAAAAACTGAAAATTAAAAAAAAAAGTAATGTGTAGGACACAAAACAATATACTAATACAGCAGGGAATATTTTTTGTTAATTTAGGATTAAAAAATATTCATCTCTCTGAAAAGGACCTAAGACTTAAAAGATCAAGTTAACTCTTCACTTTATCATGAGACCCAAAAGAAACGTGAAACTCACCTGCTAACAGCATGTCCGACATTCATCATCGCCGACGTCATTATCTCCGTGGTGAGGCTCTCGGCAAAGCTGACACCATCCTGTCCGATGCCACTATCAGCGACCAGGCTGGCACTGTTCAGCTCTCTCTCTGCCTTTGCGATCGCTTCAGCAACTATCTTCTCAGCCAGTACTGTCTTCTTAGCAAGGTCAACGGGAATCTGAGGGACGTCCAGATGAAAACCTCTAGACTTCTGACAGAAGTTGCTGAATTTTGAATTAGAAACAGGCTGACTGCTGGCAAGGGAATCCCGTCTGGGAAAGTGTGGAGAGGAATGTCCAGTGCTGTCCTGGAGCTCTTTCTGGTCACAGTATCGGCAAGCTTGACCGACCAGAGGGGACAACTTTTCTGCGTGAGTGATCCTCTCAGCCGCTTTTGTGGTCTCCGATGTGTGGGGGGCTGCGGACCCTGGACTCAGCTCTAAAGTGTCACCCTCCACCTTTTTGGCATACTGCTCTACAGCCTGAACGACGCTCCCTCCGTAGCCACCCCCGTTCAAGCTGCCAGGACTGGGGTGAAACCTGTGACTCTGGGAGGAAGGCTCAAAAGGCTTAGGAAAGTCTGGCTCCACGTGGGGCTCAGTGTCTTCATCACAGCCGTATTTTTCATAAAGGCAAGAATCTGTTACGGATTTTGGCAAGCCAACTGGAGATGCCCTCAGCGCTCTTGTAACATCCCTTGTTATGCTGTGAGCGAGAGAGGTTGAAAACCTGTACAGCTCAGAGCCCTCGCTTCTGTGCGGATCCCGGGTCCGTTCACAAGTTTGGTTCTTACAGAGGTAACCGCCACCTCTCTTGCTGTGTCTTTTTTTATCGACTTCTTGCTGGTGTTCTTTACTTAGGGACAGTAACAGTTCATCGCTGGTCTTTGTCTGTGAGCTCTGCATGGGGAACGCTGCCGAGCTGCACTTCATTCTGGCTGTCTTGGCTGCTTCTTGCAATCCTGACTTCACAGACCGATAAGCGAGTCTATTCGCATACTGATCCATTATTAACTCACTGTTCCCACCCTCCTGCTTTAGTATTTGGATAATGTGACCTGCGTACTCATCTGTCACACTTTCCCAGCTGGGATACTTGTAGGTCAGACCTGACATACAAGAACGTGGTGGTAGCGAAAGAATAAACGGGTCAACTTCTCTTGGGTGTGCTATAGCCTCGACGTCCAGCTTCTCCACTGATGTATCATCTCGGTCACCATCAACGTAACAACTGTTCCTCTTCTGCCTGGAGAGCAGACAACGTCTGACTCTGGCTATTTTTTCAGCTTCTGTAATGACGTCTGCTGCCATATCGCCTGCAAAGCTGCACAGTGTCTGTAAATTCTCATCTGAGCAATTCAAAAAGGGAGGTGATCCACTTCTTTGACTTTGTGTGTTCAAGCGAGGGCTTTGGACCATGGGTTCTTGAATTATTTTATTGTCTAAATGGGAAGCTGCCGTTTCGGTGGCAAGAGAAATGATGTGCGTGGCTAAGGCGTCTGCAAACTGAACTTTCTTCCCCGAGGGCTCTGACTTCATGTCCACTTCCGGGAGCTCCTCACCGTCACTGCTCTCAACTTCTTCTGAAAGGGATCGCATGAGCTTCAGCATGAACTCCTCTTTCTCTATAGGATTTTGTTCACTTTCAGCCAAACTACCAACAGATGAATTGTGAGGTGTCGAGGGTGGTGTCGCGGGCGCAAATTCTTTTGCTAATTCCCCCTTGAGTTTTTTGGTTAACTTCTTGAGATCCCATTCGGAAGCTGCCTGGGATGGTCCTAGAGGAGTTGACGGAGGGGTATCAGGCATTACGTTTCCATCTGTGATCTTCTGTTTGTCTTCCACTTGCAAACCATCTGCACAAGCAAGCACCGTGGACGAGAGAGGATGTGAATGGGGAAAGGGGGTCTCCTGCCCCAGAGACAAGGACTCAAGTGCTGTATTATTCAAATTACTCTTCTTCACAGATTTGCCCTTAGTTATTTCCTTCAAATCAGGTTTCTGACCTGCCACAGTTGGACAAGGTGGTAGTGTCTCTAAAGAGAATTCATGAGCTGCAGAACCTTTACAGCCAGAAACACAATCCTTCCCTGCAGAATGTGAACAGTGAGGTAAACGGTCTTGAGCTTCACGAAATTTGGGGAACTTTTCCAAAGTCAGCCGTGATTCTTCTCCAGGCAAAGGCAAGCCTCCTTTGTCTAGTCCATTTCTATCTACCTTTGGGATCACTGATTTGCTTTTCTCTATGGAATGTTTAATAATAGATTTAGATAATCGATCAGCAAACACGTCCTTGTTGCTGGCTTCACTCTGTTGCAGTGCTGCTGCATCACAGGGGGAAGGAGAGGTCTTCCCCTTTACTGTTGTAGTTAAACCACCTGTGTGTCCCTCCACTGTTTCTGTAACTCTGAGTGACATCACTGACTCTAAAGTTTCACTGACTATCGTACGCACCATTGCTGCAGAAAAGTTGCTAACACCCACAGGATCGCTTGTTGATTTTGAAGGGTTTCTCATTTCCATATAATCATTAGTTGGCTTAACAACATTCTGGTCACCTGGGTCGTGTTCTGAAGGTAAACAGATATTTCTGAGACAAGCTACTTCCTCTTCTTTGTTTTTTGTGGTAACACCTGCTTGGGGGGAATCTCCATTCAAGTCACTAGCATCAGATGATGGGGGAGACTCTGCCTGCCGCGCACTAGATGAAGCATGATACGGGAGGAGGGCGCTTCCTGCCAAGGGCACGGGTATAGAAGTAGCCACTCCAGAAGTACAAAACAAGGCCTGCTGCACTGTGTATTCCTTTTTATGTTCCTGCACTGGTTTCGTCGCCATCATCGTCTGACCGTTAAAAGAAGGGGAAAACGTGGGAGCCTGTGTC